TCGGTCGCGCTGGCACTAAAAATAAGGGTAGAATTGCAAGATACCTGGCAAATAAATGTTCCATTGCTTCTAGAATTGATTGTTTCGCGGAAATACCTACGAAAATATTTGGTGAAAAATTACGACAACAGGTAGAAGACAGACTAGATTTCTTTACAACTGGCAAGGAACCGAAAAAAAATTTAGACGTAATGAAAGAAGCATTAGAGGAAACGGCACATATGTTGGCAGCTCAAGAAAAAGAAGCTGAGAAGAAAAAGAAACATAAAAAAAGAAAACATGTTCTCGAAAATGGTCAAGAGAATGGACATATTGAAAACAATGAAGTAAATATGTCATTGCAGAAAAAGAAAAAAAAGAAAAAATCGAAACAGATTGATGAATAAAGAAAGATCGCCTTCTATACATGTATGTTTTATAACTGAAATGGATTAAAATATACTTCTTATATCTAAATTTGTGTTTGGAAATATTCTGAAAAATTTTTACTTAGCAATTAATTTTCTTTTTTGTATCAACATAAACTTATATCTATCAAAGTTATAAATACTTATGTCTATTATTATTAGCATTGATTCATTCTGAATCCTCTATAGATTTATACATTATAAGTGTAAAACATTACAATATCTTTCTACAATGATACAAACAAAAATACAAACAAAAATATAAAAATTTTAATTTTTTTTTAGTATAACATTGTGTTTTGAATTGGAGAGACGTATACATTTTCTGTATCAAAGAAAATCTTACACATAAAACTGGGACGTACAGCGAACTTAATTACTAGAGATAATGAATGATCAAATTGTGTAAATCATATTCTAAAAAAATAATAAAACGACAAAAATTACAAACGTAAAACAGAAGAAATTTAATGGTTCCTATTTTTGCTGTTTTTCCTATTTATATTTGAGGAACAGGAAGAGAGGTAATTGTAATAAAAAAAAGTAAATGGACATTCATAATATTATATGTTAATACCAGCACCAATTAGCATTTAATAACGATAAATATGCAAAATATAGATATAAATACCTAAACAATAATTATACAATAAAATTATTGGTTTTAGCGAAGTCTCAAGGTCTCAAAAATCAACAGAGCTATTTAAATCGGATCACATATAAATACTATAAGCAATGTATCCTGCCATGATTCACATTGGAGAATTAATAATCGTTGATTGGATCAAATATAAATTTTATGAACTCGTATTTTTTACACATCACAT